CATCTGGATGCTACAAAAAGAAAGTCAAATAACAGGATTATGCAATAGATTGAATGATCTTGGACCAGCAGGAATCACAACAATTATAAAGCTCAAACAAGTACAAATCAAATATTGGGAACCACTTAACCTGTTGGCTTGTGACTCACTAGACTATCTTATAGATAAAGGCAACTTTTTGCTTCAAGTAATTAAGTTAGCTAGAGATATGTGAATTACCTTTCAAAGTTGAAATGACACAATATCTTTGAATAAGAAAAAGAAAATAGTCTAATTTAAGAATATCTCTTACCTGAGGAATATAATAAAGCCATACCATCACTAAGAAACAATAAGTTGATGTATATAGATCAGCTTATTAACTATGAAGCAAATGAAATGAGAAATTGGCGCATACTCCAACTTATCCAAAAAACTAATAAAGGTTCTATTCCAGAATAGTTCTTAAACATAAGTAGAATGTTTCCCAAAGATTATTTAAATCAACTTACAGAGACAAGAAAAATAAATTGGTTAAAATGAAAGCCAACATATTTTATAGTCAGCCCTAACTGTGACAAGAAACAAAAAATATGGATAATTAAAAAAAATGCCAATTATCAACTAATATGGGGAAAGCTACTACAAGAAGAACCTAAGAAAAAAGCAAAGATCAAATACTACAAGTGACAAAATAGTGAAAATGATCAAGAGACAAAGCTAATTAAATGCATGGGTTGCTTAAAAGGTTTTATTCAAGAAAAGAGTTGCATTATAAAGGAAGATATAGAAAAGATATATATAATACCATATCTTAATACAAGAAAAAGTACTAGGAAAGCTCAAATGCTAACAATTCCATGTTCCACAATATCTTTAAAAAGAGCAATTAAAAAAATAATAGATAGCAATTAAATATTTGTACAAAGTTTATAGAGGCCAATCTAGCAGTTCACTTTCCAAGATACCAAGATGGATTACGTAAATATAGAAAGTTGGAAAGAAATGATTATTAAAAAAAATATTAAAGAAGAGATATATCAAGATTACCTAATAAAGATACTCCAGTGTAATCTAGGATTCAAACAAAAGTTAACATTCTATTTAGAGGAATTACTAATAAATCATAGCAGTAACAATATAAAGATGGGAGTAGCAGGGATTCAAATAAGCGATATAGGAAAAGAAAGTAGATTTCAAACAAGGGTAGACAGTTGACCTTCATCCACACATGCAGAACTAATGGAATAGTTACAATATTCCTAGTCATTTCAGTAGATAGCTCAATTGAAATCTTTACAAATAGTCAAGCTTACATCTCAAAGTGAAAAATAGTTAAGAAAGATGATCTAAAAAGAATACATAAAAGATGGTTAAAGGATAAAAACTGGTCACTATGGATACAAATGATAGAGCTGGTTAAGAAAAAAGATTTAGATCTGAAGCTTATCAAGATCAAGACACATTCTCGAGACCCCTATAATGATAAAGCAGATGCCCTAGCCAAAGATGCTCTTAAACTTCTAGTAATAGAATGGAAAAATCATACCTCATACAAAATCCCTATAGAAATCAAGTGATAAAACAAAACTTTAGATGATCTCATAAGACAATTTATCAAGAAAATAAATAATAAGACTATAGCATATCAGTGGATATTACAAAATAGAATGAAAAAGAAATGGAGTCATCAAATTCAAGAATAACAAGGTTATATATAGGATCTAGTATAGAAGAAAATGAATAGTCATATATAGGATACATCTTTCAAAGATTGTTAAAAAAAAAGTTTCCTGATCAAGTTAATGAATAATGAGCTACCAACACTGAGTAAACTGATGATAAGAAGGTCAGACCTATACAAGCAAGTGAAATGTACTACATGTGATCTTTAGGAGAAAGAAACAATTAATCATTTGCTAGAATGTCCAACATATAAGAAACAGATAAAGAAGATATGGAATAAAGGTCTCGAAGGAGTTCTGACAAATTTTAGAAAACTTTTATAGAAAAGGAAAAAGGAAGCAGAAGAGAAGAATACTAGATTAATAGTTGATAACAGTGAAGAAATAAATAAAGTAGACAAGTGAACTTCCAGGCTAGTGAAACAGTTTTCAACAACTAATCAGGATATGCTAAGTTTCTTTGTAGGGTTAATAAAATATAAACTCATTCTTGAAATGGCAGACCTTAAATGCCATAATAAAAAAATTGGAAAATATGTAAGAAGATGGATCAAGAAGCTACAAGGTATGACTTGTAACCAGTTCTGGAAGAAGGTTTGGAATGCAAAATATGAAAGAATGATAGAATGAAAAAGATTGCAAGAAATCCAAAAGAAGGATAAGATAAAAAGATCCCCTAATCTTCCAGATATCAAAACCATATGACTGAAAGAAAAACTCTGATATTGGAGGAAGGAAGATTAGAAGATAAAAACCTAAAAGATATCTTATCAAGAAGAGTTAAATTTGGGATGAGATGGTTGGGTTTAAGTAATATCAGAACTTAAAGAGTAATCTGCAGCAGTGACTTGCAGGCAATGATATTAAGAGTTGGAAGAGTTCATTTGAATTTTTAATGGAGTGATAAATCACTTCCAAAGTTGTACTTAGAGTAGTAATTACAAAGATGAGTGAGCTAATTAGTGTTTTAGTGATTCATATTATATGTACAGTTTACAAATATTTAATAAAGCACACATAACTAGCCTAACAAAGGGTTAAAAAATAAAATAAAATAAAATAAAACTTAATATTATTTACTATCTACATAATTAGAATTATTAAATAAAAATATAATTAATTAGCTCAATTTAGTTTTTCTATATTCTATTATTTAATATCAATTGTTATAAATATATTAAAATTTGAATTTTTAATTTTATCTAATCTTTAGCATTGGATAGATCAATTAAATATTAATAAACTTATATATAATATCTATAATAGTAATATTTGAAAAACTTTTAAAAATAAAAATTTATAATCATTTTTAGTAAAAAAATAGTTAATTTATATTTGAAATAGATACTAAATATATATTGGTTTCAATTATTTAATAAAGTATATAGTACTAGAGTTATATATATAGTTATTGCAAATTTGCCATACAAAATATAATTTAAGTATGAAAATAAATTGATTCTTAATATGAAAAGAAATTCTAATACTTTTTTCACTGATCCTCTGACCACACATAAAAAGATGTTCACAAGAAATTTTTACACTTCCTTGCTAATAAAGTCTTAATACTTTCCTTCAAACAACTTGAAGTATGACTTCAAAAGTTGCTTCTATTCTTCTCCTATTGTTTACAAACCTCTTTACTCAAAAACTTGACTTCTAGTAACCAAGAAAAGTCAAATAATACCTTTGATACCAATGGCAAGAAAGTTTTCAAAAGAAAAGAACTGACTGTAAAGTACCTGAAGACCTTTTTAACCTTTGAAGCGAGAGGTATATAGAGGTTTTTGATGATAGAAGGACTTATTTTTCCCCTTCCAGTCACTGTTGGGCCTTTTAGAACTATTGTTTTCATGGTTTTGTGAGGAATTTTACCTACCTCAGTTTGACCCTGAATTTTTGGTAGCACAAATCCTCATTAAAGGTGATTGGCTGACATAAAATACATTAGTTTTAGAATGTAAACAAGCTCCTATTGGTCACAATCATGTGTTCTGATGACATTATTGGTGATCAGAAAGAAGGTTTTGAAAACGGTTGCCTCTCAAAAGCTCAAATCCCTCAATGAAAACTTCTATAACACCAAAAGATCAAGTGATGGGTAATATGAATTGCAAACTCTCATCTCTTACCTAAGTTTCTCAAGTGGCGACAAAGTTATAATGGAAAAAAGCTGAAGTCCAAATGTTTTCCTTGAGATATCTCAATTTGATGCTCACTTAAATGAAAGATCAGTTGGATTGACTTGTCCGATGACGCAGGTGATGAAAAAGAATATTTCTTTTGAGGTTCAAGTGAAGCAAGAAGACTATTCCAATTAGGCAAATCCCTTTTGAGAAGAAGTTGTTTTTATTTTTGGATTTTTTTGATGGGTCTTGAATTGTTCCCTTTCCCAAACCATTCTTCCCCTTTTCCCTTTCCTCTTTTTAACTTAACAATTAATTGGTTTTGGGGCAATCAACAGTGACAAATTGTTGGCAATGATCCTGGTAGATAGAGGTTATTACCAATCTATTAGGGAAGTGAAATATTGTTCCCAAAATTTGACTTAGGGTACTTTTGTATGAAGACGAGTTAGTTACTTTGTGAAAGTCTATAAAATATTGTAAATTTATTTTCAATTTTTCAATAAAGACATGCCATTGTGGCATGATTGTGGGTTAAAAAAAAAATAAGCTTTAATTGTTAGTTTTACTAATTATTAGTTTTTTATATATAATAATAAATAGTAACTAATTATTTGATTTTACTAATTATTGGTTTTTTATATACAATAATAAATAGTAACTAATTATTTGATATTTTTTTAATTTTTAAATCTAATTTTATTATTTAAACAATTATTTATTCAAAGTATTAATTTATAAGTAATTTTTGTTTTTTCTTAAATAACTTGAATTCTTTATTAATTTTTAATGCAATTGTCAAAAATTTATATAATTTTTATTATCAATATACTTTTTTCTTGAGCGTTTCTATAATAGAAACTTTTGGAATTTATTAAATCATTAAAAAATTTTTAAGAATTTTTATTCATTAAATGATAAATTAAACAAGAAATTTGTTAACAAGCAGAAGTAATTTGACATAATCATGTGCAGCCGCGTCCGTTATAAACATCCGTGTAACAAAATCTTTTTTTTTTTTACAATAGTTTATCAATTTTTGTTAAAAAAAGAATAGAAATATTTATATTGTATATCGAATAAAATGATATGCTGTATATCACGTAATTTGTTTAAATGTTCTGTTCAGAATCATCAAGCTTCGGATGGGTGATTGCATTTATGACAACACGTATTAATTCAGTATAATATGCGATGGTCGAATAAAAAATTAAACCAGAAAAGTTTTATAAGCTTCATTTGGTAAGAAATTATACATTCTCGTCAGCACGTCGTCTACAACGCGCAAACAAGAAGTTATAAAAGCCTCCACAACATCCCGCAATAAATCCATCACAGTCAAAAATTCCAATATCACATTTCTGGCGGTAGCATATACACATATATTTTGCAATATTTTCGCAACACCTATCACAACCAATACACCTGAAATGTCTATTACCTGGCGTTCTTTCTGCATTTTCCGACTCTATTCTCCTCATTTCTCTTTCTTCGGATCGTATTGCCTCTTCACTTTCGATATTTGTAACAGGTTCATTTGTGTCATCAGTGTCACTGGAAAATAAAACGTTTTCGGTGATCGGGAAATCACTCGTGCTCACCGTTCTTGAAGACTGTAGATATGATCTAGGTTGATATTCGACACACCGTACTAAGGCAAGCAATGTCACCGGAACTGCCAATGAAATTTCAATTTTACGACTCCTCTCTTCGGTATTAAAAATTGGGTTTGATTCCTTTATAATAAACCACAAGTGAATGACGAGTAACGAGAGTATTATAAACACCAAGCTTTCGGATGTATTGGCTAATGTGGCAATCTGTGTAGTGGTTAAAATATATTTTCCGAATAGAAAATATCCCTCCTTCTTAACTACGTTTGGATGTTAAAGTTAATCAGATGATATATAAACGGATACAATAATGAACGATATTATCTTACACAATATAACGCAAATTCCCTCAAAAATTCCAATGTCACTCTTCACAAAATCTTGAATATGATAGACCGTAAGCACTCGGCATATCAATTCCAATATGATGTATGCTAAAATAATGAATTTTAAGATTTTTTCATAATTCGACTGGATTGAGCTCTGGAGATATAATTTAGTCACAAATAATGAAAATTAGTTAAATCTACTCCAAAAAAAAACCAATTACTTACAATCTGGTAACAATAAACCAACATTCCACATCCAATTAACACATAAAGATTCGAACAAGCAATTATAAACCAAAATATAAGTGAAAACTTTGAATTCTCTTGTAGAAGACTTCTTGTTCGACGTCTGGCAGTTTCTATATCAGGCGGCGGCGGGGGTGGTGGTGCTGGTGCTGGTGGTGCTGGTGGTGCTGCAGGTACGATAGCATGTGGTGGTCGATATCTATATGGAGGTGGGCTGCCAAGACTTGAGGAAAATAATGTGGGAAATTGTTCTCGATGAGCAGGATGAGTTGGTTCGTGTGCTGCTACTATATCTTTTTCAGGAGTACCATTTCCTGACGAACTCATTTTTTTTTCAGCTCAAAATATCTTTTAAAATAGATTTTCTTCGATAAATATAGGTAGTAATTCCAATGAAAAGAAACTTATTCGGATCTCAATTTCGCGCAAGGAATTACAAATAAATTCTCATACTGTATGTTCGAGATTACTGTACTTATTACGGTCAGAATCTAAGAATTTTTTAAAATTAGAAAAGTCGTTTTGTAGTAAACTTCGCGTGTGGCTTTTGCATGCGTATATTTCGTGTTGGCTAAGTAAGATTTTGCATACACCGCCTCAACTCAGTGAATCTGAGCGTATGTATTTGGGTAATTATTTTCGAAGGCGGACAGTGGTTTTTCTATAACTGTGATTCTAAATTTGCATTATATACTGAACAAATAAATAATGTTTAGTTTTTGATCGCTTTCAAATATGACTATTTATTTCTTAAAATGTTTATTAGGTATACTATGTCTCGTGTTGTGTTATTTTAAAAAGCTTTTAATTAATATAACATTTAATTTATAATGCATAATTTCCAATACATTAAATTAAGGTTTTAATAAAATTAGTTTTATGCATTAATAATTTCGTAATAAATTTTACTTACAATAAAATCTCTAACCAACTTTTTTATTATTACATATAGTATAAAGATTTTATTATTCATTTTTAAATCCACAATAACGATATGCTGGTATGTCTTTTATTTAGAAATCAATTAATAATTAGACTTTTTATAACCAATTCATCTTTATATATAAGTACTCTAAGTTCGATTTTGGAAACAATGTTATGCTACTCAAGTTAGATTGGATTTGTCTCTATCTACTAGGATCATTATTAATAGTTTATTACTATTGATTGATCCAAAAAATTATGAATTGCTAATATTAGAGAAGAAAAAGGAACAATAAAATAGAAAAATAGATAATTCAAATCCTCTTCAAAAAGCAACCAAATAAACAATCTTTTCGTAAAAAAGATTTGTTTAGTTGAAATATATTTTTTAAAAGAGATATTTTTTATTATTACTTGTGATATATGAATGGTTGATTCAACAAGTTCTTTATTTAGGCATATATCAGATTAAAATACTGTAGTTTAAAAGAAAATGATCTCGGCTTTATCTAATAAAGCTTTATCATTATTACAAAAAACTTAATACAATAAAAATTAGTAAATCATTTTATTTACTTTTCATCTTTTAATATTATAAAATCTTTTTTTTAAACTTGTAATATTAAAAATATTTTTTTTAATTATTTTTTCAATTTTCAATAATATTATTAAATATATAAATATATTTAATAAGAGCTTGTTTATATTTAATAAACAAATATATTTATATCAATTATTTATATTTAATAATAATTATATTATTTAAAAATTTAGAATCAAATTGAAATAGGCAAAATTAATTAGAAAATTATAAGAATATGAACTTTAAAAAGATTAAAATAATTAAAAAATAAAAAACAAATTTTTCTTTTATAACAAATCTCTATATAATAGATATACTTAAAAGTTTAATAATTTTTTAAATACTCTATAATTAAATTTTTTTAAAAAAAAACTTTCAATCATTGGTATTAAAAATGTTATTTGACTTGTTTTTAATTATTGGAAATTAATTTCTTATATAATAAAATTATAAACAAGTAAGAAAAAATTCAAAAAACTTGTAAAGTTACTTTTCAAGTTATTATTATTATTTTTTTTTTTGCCCTCTGTTAGGCTAATTACATATGTTTTATTAAATATTTGTAAACTATACATATAATATAAGGCGCCAAAGCTAATTATTTAACCAACTTACTCATCTTGATTGTTTTACCTTTCTAAGTGCAACTTTAGGAGTAATTTTATCATTCCATTAGGAGTTTAGGTGAATACCCTTCCAACTTTTAATATCATTGCCTGCAGATCACTATTGTAAATCACTCTTTTGAGTTCTGACAAAGATTAAAACCCAACCATTTTATCCCATACTTTATTCCATTTTGCAGGACCTATTTGAGTATCATATTTTCTATTTCTTTTTCCTTTAATAATACTTGATATGACCAATTTCCTGATACCTTGATCCTGTTTCTTTGTCTCTGTAGATATGTTAGCCTTTTGATCTTGTCATCTCTATTGATTTCCAATATCCATTCCCATTTTATCATCTTTTTGCATCTAACATTCCAAATTTTCTTTTTAAAATGATTACGTGTTTTTTTCTGCATCTTCATTATTCACTTTCTTGCTTCTTTACCGATTCTCTTTTCATAGTATTTCAAGTCTACTATATTATTCATTAGGTCTTTTTCAATCAGTCTCATACAGAAGCTAAGTATATTCTGATCAGTATTTGAGATCCTTTTCATCAGTTGAGCTATTTTCTTATCTATTTCTTCTTTTTTCCTTCTGTAATCAACTGTTAGACTTATCTCTTTTTCTTCTGACTCTTTTTTCCTATTTGCCAGGAGTTTATTGAAATCTTGTATCATAACTTTTATACCTTTCTGCCAAGTTTCTTGCCACTGAGTTTTATATGCTAAACATTCTAGCAAGTGTTTTATTGTCTCTTCCTGCTATTTATATACAAGACATTTTACTTGTTTGTATAAGTCTGGTCTTCTTGTGCTAACTTTGTTAATGTGAATATCTCATCACTGATCATTTTAACAAGAAAGCTTTTTCTTTATAATTCTTTGAAGGATGTATTCCATGTGTATCCATTATTCATTTGTTCTTAAACTAGGTCCCATGTGTGCCTGTGCTGATTTTGGGATTAATGACTTCACTTTTTGTCTATTCTATTTTGGGTTATCTATTGATATGTTATTATTTTGGCATTGGTTTTTTTAACAACTGCCTTATTGAAGTATCCAGCACTATATCTTGCCATTTGATTTCGGTAATAATCTTAGGTGAGTCCAGCCTTGCCATTCTATTGTTGGGAACTTTAATGCTTCTTTGACTAAAATGTCTGCTTCCTCATTACATTGAATGTTGTAGTATGCTTTAACCTTGATAAGATTTAAATCTAATTCTTTTTTCTTTACCAGGCTCAACATTCATGCCCACAAAAACCAATTTTGCTTCTTTAACCATCTTTTGTAGATTTTTTTGGGATTCTCCTTTTCTATAGTTTTCTATTTGAAGATGCAGGCTTGACTATCAGTATGGATTTTGACCTTGCTATTAACTGGTACTACTAGTAGTATAGTGACTATCGCTACTAGTTCTGCTCTTATGGATAAAGACCAATCAAGTACTCTGTTAGAAACTTGCTTTCTCTTTCTGCTTCTCCAATTTGTATCCATGCTACACCCATCTTCATATTTTCATTTCTATTATCAACAAGGGATCCATCAGAGTAAGAGGTCATTGTATTATGGCTATTATCTCTCTTGTTACGTCTGAGTATTTCAATCAGATGGGTTTGATATATACCTTCTTTAATATTCTCTTTAATGAGCCTCTCCTTCTAATTCTTGATTATTACTTTTTCTAGTTGTCTTTTATTATATTGTGTAGTTACTGAGTCTATATAAATTGTTCTACTTATTGATTCCTCTAGCGCTATCTTGGAACAAGGGATTTCTAAAAGTTAAGCTCTCCTTGTAGATTTCCTAGTATTAAGATAAGGAATCATATATGTTTGTTCTATGTTTGATTCTACTATGCATTGGTTGTCAGTCTTGATTCCTTCTGGGTAGCCTTGACATTGTATCAAGTTTGATCTTAAATTTTTCTTGGAACCGTCACATTTGAAATGATTTATTTTAATATATCTTTTATCATTACCTAGAATCAACTTTTTCCAAACAAGTTGCTGCTGCTGATTATTGCTCTTGGTGACCACCCAAAGTTTTTGCCTTTTATCAAAGTTAAGATTGAGTACTAGATATTATGAACTCTATTTTAACCAATCTTCTTTTCAAGTTCTTGTGAGCTATCCTAGTTTGTTTTTTTGCATTTATTTCCCTTGTTATTAACAAGTACCATTCTGAAATAGGTCCCTTACTTGTCTTCTATAAGAGTTGGAGCATTCGCCAGTCCAATACTTCTCTAGTTTCATAGTTGATAAGCTAATCCATATATATCAACTTATTATATTTGAGTGATAGAATGGTTTTACTATATTCTTTTGTTGTCAGATAATCTTTAATTGGACTATTTCAGGTACTCCAATTAAAGACATCATTCGACTTCCAGTTATAAAAAGTTACCTCTATATTTTTGATCAGTTTCAGTACTTGTAATGCAAAGTTACCCCTTCCCAGAAGATAGTTTAGTGAATTACATATGAGCAGGTTGAGAGGTTCCTAGTACTTA